GACAGACCAGTGCTATACCAATTACAAGAATGTTTTACAAAAAAACCCCATGTATGTATGTGAATGAGGCTTTACAATATGACCCCTGAGGATCTCCTCTGGAAGATAAAGATGGAAGATAGGATTACTGTGGCATTACTCCCTGACAATTGAAGATAGGTTCAGTATTGCCCTGTGGATGCTGGGACGTCATCCTGGACTCTCCTGAAAGCTCTCCTTACTGGCATGGTGACATGTCCTTACCTTCAAGTCTCAATCAGGCACCCTTAAAAGCAGGCGGTGCTTCTCCAGGACATGCCACACTAGGTTCATGGGTGAAAAGGACAAAAGTTGTCTTCAAGGCAGTAAAGCCCCAAAGAATGCTGGACAGGAATCTCTGGACTCTTCCTAAGAAGAATCCTTACTGTTTTTTGATCTTTATTTCTGATAACATCCAAGTTCTTGCTATTTTCTATTACTCTACCTTTGGGTTTATAAAGTTAGAACTTAAAAAATTCTTAGGCATCTCAGAGCCCAATACATAGTATGTCTCAGGTGCTTGTTGGTTTTCTGAGTGTCTTCTTCAGTGAAGTGTTCATCCATGTCTTTTTTCCATTGCATAATTGGATTGTCTGTCATTTCCTTGTTGGAATTTTCTCTAAATTTTAGAAATTAACTCCTTGTCTAATGTATCATTGCTAAACATTTTTAGCCTCTCAACCTGTTTTATAGAAATCTTTTGATGCATGTAAAGATTTCATTTTTAATAGATGAGGGAGAGAACTGTTTAAAAGGGATAGACGATTAAGTATTATTTTGATGGTAGGAGTCCTGAAGGAAGGCTGCAAGGTGAAATGGACTTGGGAGGAGGAATTATATAACAATGAAAGAATTTTTCTTTTACTTTTCAAAGAGAAGAGTCTGCTAGGGGTGAGGTGTGGGCAGGGAGAAAAGTGCAACAATGAATGAAGGGAAATCTAAAGTCTGTAAATTTTCATTAACATTAATAAAAAGAATATTTCGTTTAAAAATATAAAGAAAGCCAAGTTTATCTAAAAATTAGATGCATGTAATAATAATGAAAGGGTTTTGCAATGAATAAACTATTGAATGTGCAGAATTCTATTATTCTATCTCCAGCCTCATTTCTTTCATCTACCCTGTGTTTTCCAGCTACTGACCCTTTTCCCTGTTCCCAAACTTTGTGTTCCAGTCACCCAATATTACCAGTGAAACTTTATTGCCTGTTTTATCAATTTCTGACTCCAAAAGTTGGTAGAAATTTTCCATTTCTTCTTCTTTGGCTATAGTTGTTGGTGCATATATTTGAATGATAGTGGTATTCTCTGGACTTCCTTGTATGCCTATGGTTATTATCCTGTCGCTCACCACGCTGTATTTCAGGATGGATCTAGAAATGACTTTTTTAACTTGGTAAAAAACCCCATTTTTTTCTCCCCTTTTTATCTCGGACATATTAAATCATATGATCATCTGATTCAAAATGTCCCATACCAAGCCATCTCACTTCGCCAATACCTAGTATATCAATATTTATCTGTTCCATTTCTTTCTTGTGGTTTTTTTAAAATTATTTTATTACTTTTGTGTGTGTAACATTAAATCAGATCTGACTGTTATAGGAGGAGATTGTTTCTCCTTCTCCAGCAAAGCGTCTGGTGGATTTGAATCCATGCACCTCTAGGATTGCACTGCAGCTTCCTGCCACTGAGTCACCAGAGCTCCCTGCCATTTCTTTCTTAACAATGTCTAATTTTCCTACATTAATGCTTCGCATATTCCATGTTCCAATCACTATTGACGGCTTATAGCTATTCCTCCTTCTCTGTGTTTCCATTTTTAAGATCTCAGTCTCAATTGCCATGTCTGCTTGTTCACGTGCTAGTCTAACTGTGCTCTACTGTACATAGGGTTTTCGAATATCTGTCATTTCAGAAGTGGATGTCCAATCCATCTTCCTAGTCTGTCTCAATTTTTTAAATATATATATATAATAGTATCAGTCAGAGAAGTATTTTACAGAGCATTTACCCAGTTAGAAAAATGACCAATAGATTCAATGCTGCTTCTCACCATTGCTATGTTTTTTGGTTTTTTTGTTTGTTTTTTTTAATCCATCTTTCCCTACTCCACCACCATCTCTTCCTACTTTTGCGTACACCATTCAATACCCGTCTCCCCTTGCTATGGCTGACTCTAAGAATGGGAATCCCAGACATTTGATTGTGCCAATGCTAAACCTATACTTAGACCAAGAGGAAGTCGTCAGAATAGAGCAAGGAAACACTACATGGTTCAAAATCAAGAAGGGGGTCCTTCAAGGATGTATTTTGTCTCCATACCTTTTCAATCTGTATGCAGAGCAGATCATCTGACACTGGGTTGTACGAGGAGTATTGTATGATCAGGATTGGTGGAAGAGTCACCAACCTGCGCTATGTAGATGACACAATGCTGTTGCTGAATCTGAGGAGGACCTGACGTGCTTGCTGCAGAGCGTCAAAGACTGCAACCTTCAATATGGATTGAAGCTCAACATCAAGAAAACAAAGATTCTCACCACTGGACCATTTGGCAACATCAGTATGGATGGTGAAGAAACTGAGAGAGTTAAGAGTTTTAGTTTACTTGGCTCCACAGCCGACACTCTTGGTAATATCAGTCAGGAAATTAAGAGATGAACTGCATTGGGAAAGTCAGCTGTGAGGGACCTCTCAAGAGTACCGAAGGGCAATGATGTCAAGCTGGAGACTAAGGTGAGCCTGATTCAGGCTATAGTCTTTGCATTTATGTCCTATGCATTCTAGAGTTGGACAGTGAGTAGGGATGATAGAAAGAGTACTGATGCCTTTGAGCTGTGGTGCTGGAGAAGAGCGCTGAACATACCATGGATTGCTAGGAGAACAAACAGGTTTGTCCTGGAGAGGGTGAAGCTGTAATGCTTATTGGAGTCAAAGATTCTGAAGCTTTGTCTGACATACAATGGGCATGTTGCAAAGTGAGACTGGTCCTTGGAGAGGGACATCATGTTTGGCAGAGTGGAGGGATGGCTCGATTCTGTAGGTGTAGTGGTGGGAATGAGTGTGTCTGAGACAGCGAAGTTGGCACAGGATAGAATGACATTTAGGGCTCTTGTACATAGGGTTGCTATGAGTTGCAAGTGACTTGATGGCACATAACAACAACAATGATGTCATTTATGTTAATTCTGTTTAGATCACAGCTTGCTGTCATGATAAGAATTTTGTTTCTCCCAACATCAATAGGATGGATGCTAAGGTACACATGTTAATGCTTTCAAGGCCAAAATCTATGTGTGCTTTTTCTACAAAGTGAATCTGTACAATTAGTAATGTATTTCCCTTCTCTTCTAGGTGAAGGTGCTTTAGTGAACACAGCTTGGAAATTTTGTGTCTAGGAACCACAACTGTTTCCAACCTAAAACTTTACTTCTTGGGCCATATATGACTACTTATAGAATGAGTGGCATAGCTGTTCCATGTCAATCTAGGCCACATGGACTCATTAGAGTATGGGACAGGCAGTAGACAAATATAATGGAAATACCCAACCCAACTTTGGGTGCAGATGATAGACCTATTAGGTTCATTTCTATTCTGGCGTTTAGTAGAGTTCAGTGTGTATTTGCTAGTTTGTTGTTGGTAAAAGTTGTGTTTCATTGTCCTACTGCACAAAGGTATTCTTTCTAACCCCAAAGACTGACATAGCACATGGTAGGTCTGTGTTGGTTTGGACTCTATTCAATGAGTTGAGTTATCATCCAGTATTATTAGCTTATAAACCACTAGTGACAAAGAAAGAGAAACTCAAAGGCTTCAGCCTAATGAGTCACAAAGTGGCCATGGTCTCAGTTTATGACTGCTACTGGGCTGAATTTAGTAGTGGAAGGAGTTTGATTTAGTTCTGCCCAGTAAGAATTGCTGCCCACCTTTCTGGAGCGTTATTGTACCAAGTCTGTCATCTCAGGGCCCTGCCTGGTGTCCGCTCCTCCAAGGTCCTTCGCTGCCAGAGTTACCAAGGCTAGCTGCTCTGTTGTAAGCCCTATTGGAACCACACAGGTCACTGGAATTCGTAGGAAAGGGGGGAGATGGAAAGGGGTCTATCTCAGAACAGCATGGTCTGCAACATAGAAAGGATCGCTGGACATTGAGAATTCTCAGTAATAAACAGACATGAAAGAGAGAAGAAAACCAGGAAATTAGATGCTGAACTAGGCCCTTAGTTCAGAAAAGGGTGTGGAGCTAAGGAAGGCTATGAATCCAACAGGGGAATGAGGAAGTTCTCATAGTCCTTACCCTTCAAATCTGTCTGTTTTCTTGATCATAAGGCAAAGTGTTCCATTCTACTTCTTCCCAGAGCCTTGGCATGGGTCAGCTTGTCTTCAACCCAGTGAGCACCACTTTTTCTCTGCCACATAGTACAGGAAGCAGAGCTGAACAGTTCATCTACACATAGAACCTGGGAGGCTTGGGTGTCCCACTGTGAGGGTGTTCTGCCTTAGCCCTGCAGAAGGGCAAGCCTGAGAGATAAAACAAATAAGAAAGAGCTGGTTGACTCATTGCATATGAGTTGTGAATGTAGCGTAGGGAAAAGAACATGTTTCAGAATATGTTTATGTTCTAGGTCTGCTTCAATGAGGATTAAAAGCTCAACAAAGCAAAAATTAAAAAGGACAGAATCTCATTCCCTCAAGCCACAGCTCACTCATACCTGATCTTGCCCTGGGTTTTTAGAGGGTATAAATTACACAATAGGTGATTGTTCATCTTTCTTCCTTGGGGCATTTGGTGGATTTGAACCGCCTACTTTAGGTTTAGCAGTGCAACTCCTAACCCACTAGGTCTCCAGAGCTAACCCATCTAGAATTGCCATCTTCTAAAAAACTAAGTGAATAATGAAGACACAATCATTTCCTTGAAGTTAAGACACATTTATTAATGTTCTTGCTGTTAGGAGAAGATTATCCAGCACAGAGGGGCTCAGGGTGATTCTTCCAGGTGGAGACCTTTAATTGTTTTCTTTATCCAGGGCAAGAAACTGGAGATTTTGGTGGAGACACGTGGAGGAGTTCCGTCTTCATTTCCATGGGAGACAATGCCCTGGGCCACATTTTTGCATACCAATGGACCTCCAGAGTCTCCCTGGGAACACAGAGAGGAAAGGCTGATTTAATTGTTCTGCTGGTACTGCCTCCCTCTATATTCTGGGAGAAAACTGCCCCAATGAGATAAAAAGGGGGTTATAGGCCTTTCTGGGGACCCCTAGAATGGTGCTTGACATCATAGTTGTTTCATTCCTAGGTTGTGATCTATTTTCCTCCCTAACTTCAGGTCTCCTGCCTTCTAAGGAGCTGTAGAACTTTGCTTCCAGGCTACTCTTTAAGGAAAGGCAGATGGTTAATTTACCAGGGCCATGACAGCTCTTAAGTATTTACATGGTTTTGATTGTTCAACATGGAGGGAGAGCTTTTCCTAGCATGTATACTCTAGTTGGGCGGGCCAATCCTTTCTACATCCCCCACATTAAATAAAAAAAATTTAAAAAAAAGAAAAAAGAAATTCAAACCAGTTTTGGACATATCAGTTCATAGTAATCCTAAATGTTACAGTGTCCAACTTCTCGTTGGGTTTTCTTCCCTATGAAGTTTATGGAATGTCTTTGAGAAGGTTCAAACCACAAATCTTTAAGGTAGAAGCTGAATGGAAAGTCTTTGTGCCTTAGGGATGTTTGAGGTGGCGTGTTATTGTTTTGCTGTCAAATCTGAAGTGACCCATAACAGATCCTCCAGTGAGATCTTAGAGATGATTAATTGCACAGGAGGAGATTGCCCATCTTTCTCCTGAGGATCACCTTTGGGATTATAGTGACGTTTCTTATCACTAGGCCACCTATCTCTTTGTGATAGAATAAGGCATGACAAATTCATCTTTCTGGAGGAATACATTTCTGACTTACCCCTGGGAAGCTCACAGATGCCTGAGTGACTAGGTAGTTTGGTACTCTTGTTATCTCAGAAAAGTGGGTGAAGGCATTCCCGTTATTGCTAGCTAGGACCTTTCTATCCCAGGTCTTCCTGAAACATCCTTCTCCCCAGAGCAAGGCCAGGCTAATGCTAAATCTCACCTTAAAGGAACACATCTGTTTCTGAGGATCTCCCACGCACAGCTGAGATGTACTGTCATAATTCGGGTAGCGGCGTCCACACTGGAAGTGCTCTTGAATGATAAGATCCACCTCACGTAGCTTGTTTGTTGTTTCATTCTTAGTAATCAGTCCCCAGCCAGCTACACTGCACACCTGACCAGGCCTCACCCGGTCACTTTCTCCAGGCAGGGGGAGCAGGCCCACAGCTGCATTCAGTTGGGCCTTTGTCTTCAACTAATGAAGGAAACAACAAAGTCCTGGTCACTCAGACACTGTTATCCTCTAGACCCAAATGGGCTGCATTTTATCCCTTCTTCCTCCAGGATTAGTGAAGCAGCCAGGATGAGAAAGGCAGGGGTTATGGTGGAAGGAGAAAGTTCTTGAAACCAAGGGTGCAGGAACAGCAGAGAGTGTGACTCACCTGTAATATCATGATGTCATTTATAGCAGTCGCATTGATAAAATTAGGGTGGGGGATCGCTTTTTTCACAGGAATTTTCTGCCATGTCTTTTCTTGAAACAAAATGTCATGAGCCCCCAAAATGACATACACGGGGCTGTATAGAGAGAAGACAAGAGGTTCTCACAACTGGAGACCTAAAGCAGGTGACAGGTGGGCAGGGTATGGTGGCTGCTGAGGGAAATGCTGGCAGGAGGGACCCTTCATTCTGAGCTTGCTGAGCCTTCAGTTTCTGTGCAGCATTGTAGGTGGTTGTGGAATTATCTTTTCCCCTCAGGTCATTTGAAATGGCTTGACCATACCTGCTCTCAACCTCCACTGTCTGCCTGAAATAATCAGTGAGGTCCTTCCTTAACCTCTTCCTTAACCCCATTCTCTGACCTCATGGGTAACCTGTTGACTCACTTTTCACCACCTAATCCATTCTCAAATAGTTCCGATGATGAGAACTCCTGGGCCTGAGTTACATCCCAATGAAGTAGCTCCCCTGAGTGGTAGGAATGTGAAGAGTCCTTGGAGGTTCCACCCCTCACCTTTCCTGGACATGAGCTGCTGTCAGGACAATATCTTCTTCCACAAGGAAACCACCACATCTTCCCCACTGGCCATCATGAAGTGACGCCACAAGAGCCATGAATGGACGTGAATGAGGCTGTGCTTCATGACCTCCAATGATCTCCTCTGGAAACAAAAAATGGAAGATGCGAGGAAGGGGCATCCTACCTGATTATTGAAAATAGGATCAGTTTTGTCCTGTAGCTGTTGGGACAAGTTGTCCTGGATTCTCCCAAATGCAATCCTTATAGGCTTGATAACATGCGCTTCCCTTCAAGTTTCAATTAGCCCTACTAAAAACTGATAGTGCTTGTTCTGCACATCTAATCTTAGACACATGGATGATGGGTACACAGTTTGTCTTCAAATTGGCAAAACCCCTAAGAATCATGGAGAAGAATCCCTGCTTTTCTGATTCACCCCAGATCAGCTCCTACAGACCTGAGTGACTCCCCAGCTTGGCTATTCCAGTCCTGTTATTCCAGCAGAGCAAATGAAGGCATCCCCCTATTGCTAACAAGAGTCTTCAGATCCTAGAGATTCCTGAAACATCCTTGTCCCCAGAGCCAGGCCAGGCTAGTGTTAAATCTCACCTTAAAGGAAGCCATCTCTTTCTTCAGGTTCATCATGTACAACTGAAAGGCATTGTTATAATTTTGAGTCAGGGTAGAGCTGGTGCTGAGGGAAAATGCTGGAAGGAGTGTCACTTGACAATGAACCTTTGGCTTCTCAAGAAGAGCATTCAAAGTAAGCATTTGTGGGATTCCCTTTAGCACCTCAGTTCACATAAAATGAATTAATCCATACTTGCTGTCAACCTCAAGTGTCATCCTAAAACATCCAGTGAGGTACCTCTCTGATCTTTCTCACTTGCTCCAACCTCTCCCTTCATAAGCTACATGTTGACCTTCTTTTCACTACCTCATCCTGCTCACTAATGGTTCCTCTGATGAGACCCCTGGGGCCTGTGTTGTAGACAGCTGCAGGATCTCCCCTGAGGAGCAAATATGGAAATAGAAGTCCTTGTAACATCTGCCCCTCATCTACCCCTGCAGTGAACTCCTATCAGGACAAAGTCTTTTCACACAAATATTTCACCATAACTATTCTTGACTTCCCAGTGAGTGAAACGAAAAAATGCCATGTATGGAGTTGAATTGGGCTTTGCTACATGACCTCCAACAATCACCTCTGAAGGAAAAAGATGGATGATAAGGTGACTGTGGCATCCTACTCGATGATTGATGAACGGGTCATAATTGTCCTGGAGATGCTGGAACAGAAAGTTCATGCTTCTCCTGGAAGATGGCTTTCTGGCACAGTGACCCATTCCCACTGTCAAATCTCAAACAGTCCCTCTTAAAAGCTAACAGTGCTTGTTCTGATGAGCCCACATTAGGTTCATGGATAGAGGGTTGCATATGTTATCTTTAAGATGGCCGAGTGGACAGAAAACCTTATAAGCAGTTCCTTACTTCACCTCTGCCTTGCATGCGGACTTCTGAGTTGTAAAACAACCCACTTGTAGATAGAATTTGGTCCAGGACTTAAGAACAATAAATGACATAGTTGAGCCTCTACATAGTGTGGTTCCTAACCTTTATATGATAGTAGACAAAGTGCTAGTCAATAGCCTTTTATTGTAAGAACTACCTTCCTTCTGTAACTGGATTTGTGCCACTATTAGAGCCTCTACTTGAAATATTAATGCTTTTTAATTTTTGACTCATGTATTTTTAACTTGTTAGTTAAATTTGTGTCTTCTAGGCTGCAACAGTTCCATGATATATCTTCAAGGATATGAACATGTACGGCTAAGCACAATTGATAATAGAGTATCTAAATTCCAAAATCAATCTCCATAATAGTCTATGTGTTTCCTATTGCTAAAGGGGCCCTTTAGAGTAGTGAGAGAAGATCTTCACCCTGAAACCTACATCATCCCTTTTCAACAGGAAGTAGCTAAGAGAATACGCTGTCCCCTTTTCCTTATGAATCAGGGTGAAGTCTCTCTCAGGGAGGAGTGATAGGGAATGGTAAAAGAAACACTGACAAAGGAGATTAATCAGAACTGGCTTTGACAAGCACTGTGGCAATTGGACAATTAAAACAGACATTTGGGGGGGGGAGAGAAGAATGAACTGGGGAGGAGGGTAGAAAAAGCAGTGCAACAATGAATGAATGAAAACCCAAAATCTCTGTAAATGTTCATTAAAATTAATAATATTTAATAATTCTTTTTTTTAAAAAAAAGATTGCTGAACCATCTTAAAGCATCCTCAATAAGAATCCTTGGACTATTATGTGTGTGTTTCCTGACCTGACTGAGCCTTTACTAAGTTTGTGGTATTTTTTTTTATTATTTTATTTTATCATTGTTTGGGTGTACTGTCAAATCAGATCTGACTGATACAGGAGGAGATTTACCCCTCCTTTTTCAGCAGAGCACCTGGTGGATTTGAACTACATACCTCTGTGACTGCAGTGCAGCTTCTTGCCACTAGGCCACCAGAGCTCCCTGGTATTTTTTAATAATATGGCCTTAAGCCCAAGGCAGCTGGGAAAGAAGCGGCCATGTTGTTCCTGGTTTGGCTGGTTCCTCCCAGGCTCTTGGGAAGCTCTCCTTGCCAGAAAGGAAGGAGCACAGTGGTGGGAGTGCAAGAATGGTGGCAAGGTTTTGGAGTCGATTGCTTTTCCAGGACTGTGTTTGATGTGAAGGTTTGTCCCTGGAGTGAGACTAGCCAGCCTGGGCCTAGGGTTTGAACCAGGAGGCGGCCTTAAGCCCAAACGGCCCTCAGGCAGCCAGCTTCAAATTGTCTTCCTGTCAAACATTCTTCTAGATGGTATAGCACTGGTCTGTGCATAGCTTTACAGTGGTAACTCATGGTTGCTGTGATGCTGAAGACTTTGACAATGATGTGCCAGTCGTGGTAATGGGCACCCATGGTGGACAGTGTTGGCTGGAGCTTCCCGACTAAACCAAGCCTGGAAGCAGGAGTGCAGGAGTAGCATCCACTTCCGAAATGGCTTGCCTCCGGAAACTCTATGTACGAACAGTGCTCAGGCTGTTCGTTCATAGGGTCACTACGAGTCGTCTACGACTCAACAGCATTAAACAACAACAACAACATACCCTTATGTTTACAGAGTTAGAATTTTCGAAAAATCTTAGGCTTTTCAGATCCTATTACATCTTGGAACTTCAGTACATCTTTTTAAGATTGTTCCCAACAAGCCTTTGCATGATTATACTGGTGGGAATCAAAGCCAAAGAACTGTCAGGAATTGAATACAAAGGCAGTGGAGTAACCAAACCCTGGGGAAGCAGAGGAGGCAGAGTCGCTAACTAGAAGTAGACAGTAAAGGAGATTAGACAATATAAATTCTTTGAGATAAATTGCAACTTTAATCTCTTCTGGTCAGGTGAGCACTGAACATGGAGATGTAAGTCAAAGACGATAAAATGATTTTGACACCACAACTCTAATAGCTTGGAAGGAGGAGTGGCATCCACTTCCACAATAGCTTGCCTCCTGAAACCCTATTAAGCTGGAGAGAGGATGAAAGGCACCCAAACGTCGAGGACTCTCCTTCATAGGGTCCCTATGAGTAGCCTGCGACTTGACTGCATTTAACAACAACAACAACAACTCTAATAGCACAAATGTTGTTGTTGATTTTTGACTTTGAGTTGAGCATGTCTCATAGCGACCTCATGAAGTAAAGGCCTGAAGACCCTCTACAACTATAGACATTTATCAAAGTTCATAGAGTTTCCAGAGCCATTTATTTAGGAAGTGGATGGCACTCCTGCTTCAAAACAAATCATAGTATGTTATTGTTGTTATGTGCCATTGAGTCGGCTCTGATGTATAGTAAAACTATGTGCAGCAGCTCTGAATGCTTCCCTGTCATGAGCCACTCACTAATTCTGACACACTATTCCCCATTGCTCCAGTTACTGTATCAATCCATCTCCTCTGGGAGGAACTCCCTCACCAGTGCTGAGCATGATGTCCTTGTCCCTGGACCTGTCTCTCCTGGCCACATGCCCAAAGTGAGACAGAGCTTCAACATCCTAGTCTCCAAGGCGATACTTGTGTTCACCCTATTCGTTTTCTTAGCAGTCCATGGGATGTTCAAGACTCTTCTCTAGTACGACAACTTGAAGGAATCTATTCTTCTGTCATCCTTAGTGATTGTCCAGCTCTCAGAAGCATGACAAGTAAATGAGAAGACCATGACCGGATTAGGTGCACCTTTGTGTCTAGACTGACATCACTGCTCTTCTATACTCTGGAGAGGTCTAAGACAGCCGATTTTCCTAATGCAATTTGTCTTTTGATTTCATGAATTCCGGGGAGAAGAGTTTTGATTGTGGATCCAAGCAAGCTGTAATTGATAACAACTTCAATCTTCTCTGTCTAATATGATGCTGCCTATTGGCCTAGTGATGAGAATCGTTGTCTTCTTAATGTTAAGCTTCAAACCGTATTGAAGATTACAGTTCTTGAGTTTTACAGCAGGTGCTTCAGGCCTTCTTCAGTTTCAACAAGCAAGGTTGTGTCATCTGCATATTGTAGGCTGTTAATGAGTCTTCCTTCAATGTTGATGTCACACTCCTCATAAAGTGCTATTTCTGTTTTATTGAATATACAGAAGCATTTGACTGATCTAACTAATTATGACTAATATCAGAGAATGGGAATTCCAGAACACTTATCATTTTGCTCCTATGAAACCTATACGTAGAGCAAGAAACTGTTGTTCAAATGGAGCAAGGAAACACTGAATGGTTTATATAAGAAAAGTGTGTGTCAGGATTGTATCCTTTCTTCGTATCTATTTAATATGTATGCTGAACAAATCATTCCAAAAGCTGGCACTATGAAGAATAAAGGGGGATGAGAATTGGAGGAAGATTTATTAACAACCTCTGTTACACAATGTTGCTTGAAAAAAAGAAGGATGACCTGAACCACTTGGCGCAGAAGATCAAAGACTACAGCCTTAGATATAGATTGTATTTCAACATCATAAGACAAAATTTCTAACCATTACACCAATAATCAACAATGACAGAAGGAGAAAAATTGAAGTTGTCAATTAATTCATCTTACTTGGATCACCATGAACACCCTTGGTATCAGAAATCAGGAGATT